AGAAGAAGGGGACAGCAAAGGATGAGATGGCTAGACAGTGTTATCAATGCAATGAACATGAAATTAAGCAGACTCCGGAGGATGGGAGGGCTTGGCGTAATGTGGTCCACGGGGTCGCAAAGAGTCAGATTCGACTGTGCGACTGAATAACAACATTTCTATGCTGCTTTTAGTCACAAGAACCCTCAAAAGCCAATCACAAAAAATGTAGATAGATCAAGATGGGTAGCCTGCTAGTCTGTAGCAGTAGAAAAGCACAAGAGTCCAGTAGCACATTAAAGACTAACAACATTTTTTGCAGGGTATGAGCTTTTGTGAGTCAGTGTTCACTTCGTCAGATCGAAACTGAGCAGAAGAGACTCACAAAAGCTCAGAAGTGAGCAGTGACTCACGAAAGCTTATACCCTGCAAAAAATGTTGTTAGTCTTTAAGGTGCTATTGGACAAAAATGTAATAAAATAAATTCTTGTTTAGCACAACAATAGTGGGTTCACACTATTATTTTTCTCCACATCACAAACACAGGCTACTAAAAACGTAGATTTGGCTCATTTGGCACCTTAAGTAAAGGAGGAAAACAACATTTAATTTCTGGAAAGTTTAAGAGAGTACATAATCATTAGTTGCTGTAGATTTTCTGGGATGTGTGGCCATGATCTTGGCATTGTAGAATCTGACGTTTCGCCAGTAACTGTGACTGGCATCCTCAGAGGTATAAACACAGAAAGATGGAGTACTCTCTGTGTCTAGGTGAGAAGAAAATGGTAGGCAGTAAGTTTATATGTACTCCAGAAGGTAGGTAGGGCTGAGTCATTGTCTTGTAGGAGTTCCCCAGGCTATGGACATGCTAATGAAGGAGCTTTCCTGAGGAGGTTCTTTTGTTTCCTGAGGAGGTTTCCTGCTTTCTGAGGAGGTTGTTGAAATTCTAATCTTATCTGTAGTGCTATTGTCTGATGTAAAGCCTTTTGTGTTTTTCAGGACAGGAAGCCATGTCCTATTTATTTTTAAAGTCTCTTCTTTCCTGTTGAAATTATGTTTATGTTTGTGAATTTCAATGGCTTCCCTGTGTAATCTGACATGGTAATTGAAAGTGTTGTCCAACCTTTCAGTGTCTTGGAAAAAAATACTGTGTCCTATTTGAGTTAGGCTATGTTCAGCCACTGCTGATTTTTCAGGTTGGCCAAGTCTGCAGTGTCTTTCATGTTCTATTATTCTTGTCCGAATGCTATGCTGTGTGGTCCTGATGTAAATTTGTCCACAACTGCATAAATAATCAATTTGACCTTAAATTCACTAAGTGCCATTGACTCAAAATTTGAGTCAAAGAAAAACAAACACTACTGTAATATTGGAGTGTCAGACTAGGATCTGGGAGAGCCAGGTTTGAATCTCCACTGTGGCATGGAAGAAGGCTGCTGGGTGACCTTTGGCCAGTCACACGTTCTCAACCTAATCTACCTCACAGGGTTATTGTAATGATAAAACTGAGAGGAGTACAATTTTGCAAGCCACTTTGTGTTCCCATTAAGCTGAAAAGTGTAGTATAAATATGTATATCTAGAGAGCTAGCAATATGTATAACAGGTTTTCAGCCAAAGCTATAAATAATGTGTTTGACAATAGACATTCCTTTTATAGAAGATCTTACCATCTTACACCAATACCTTTTCATACAATCATATCCCATTCTCAGATTTCAAATTTTGCACAACCAAACTTCTATAAGGAATAATACAAAATTTAAAAGGCTGTGAATTGTTTCTCAGAAGAACATTAACATTAGTTGTACACTAAACAAAACTGTTCCAAGAGCAACAGGTTTGTGCTTGCAGCCTTCCCAATAAATTCACCAATATGTGGATAAACTTTGTACAGAACAGTACAATCCTAAAGCAAGTTATATCCTATAACTTTAATCCCTTTATAAAAGTACTAATGATATATATCCTTTTTAAATGTAATATTTGGAATATATAAAACATTTATATCCCCATATTTCTGAAACAAAGGTGATTTTTAGCAATTAACTTCATAATTACAAATTCAAAAAAGGTAATGTTAAACTCTTTATGCAGACATCTTACACAATAATGTTTTAGTATGTATCCACCGACTTCAGTGATGTTTCTTCACAGGGAGTTGGCACTCAGAGCACAGCCTCACTTGATTACCTTAATAAGTAGACTCCTATGTAGAGAGATGCTCCCTAAAGTATACTAGCATCAGGCCATACTTTTAGAAATAGGCTGGTACATTTCATGCAAGCTGCAACTCTTGAACAGCTTCAAGGGCAGCCCTTTTACACACACACACCAGTTCTACAGGTGCATTACACATGACCAGCAATATAAAGGAAATATTGCTTTTTTCCTAGGTACAAAATACTGTGATTGAGTAGTCAGAATATGGGAAAACTTGGTACTCTGCAACAGAAACACACTGAAGAGAGACATCTGGGCTCCGGACAACAGATGAGAGTCAATGCACATTTACCATGATGTAATGTATGATATATTTAAAAGATGATGAGAAGACGGATGCCAATGTGCATCTCTACCTACAGGAACTGGTGGTGTCCTGAATCTGTATATGCATTCTGCATACGAACAACACACAAGCCTAGTTGCTGTGTTCTGCTAGAAGACCCATATACAAAGCACATGGTGTTTATATGGATCCTGAGTCCCCCAAGGGGATCAGCATATAGACACTGCCAGAGGTGCTGCCTTTTACTCTTGGGTAGCCCCAATAGCAAGGGCACTCCACTTCTAACCTAACCCACAGAAACTCAGGCCAAGGAAGGAACCCTTGCTTCTGAAACACAGAGCTAGCCACAGCACTGAAAAAGGGATCTCCATTTTCAGGTGACAGGCAACCTCAGAGCAAGCCTCTAGTCTTCCCCCTTCACCCAGCAGGGATTATGCTTATGGAATGACAATAAGTTTTAGCAGGTAAAGTATCTACATTTCTAAAGTCTATTCTAAAGTCTAAAGATTGAAGGTCAAAGAAGACAGGGACAGCAAAGGATGAGATGGTTAGACAGTGTCATAGATGCAACGAACATGAAATTGAGCAAACTTCAGAGGACGGCGGAAGACAGGAAGGCCTGGCGTGATCTGGTCCATGGGGTCGTGAAGAGTCGGACTCGACTGTGTGACTGAACAACAAAAGTCTATTCAAAAGTCGCTTGGCAAATAACTCTGTCTCCGGTAATTCTTTGTCTGAATACTTGTCTTTTCTGCTCTGTCCCTCAAGATACCGGGATAAACCAATCAAGCATTCAAATTATTAACTATCCTTCCTGACGCTAATCAGGGATGTCTCCCACCTTTTGTTTACCCTGGCCAGGACCATTAGTGGTCAGATAATCCATTTAACTAGCCACCCAACACCTGGCTTCTATTGTTAAATCCAGACCCTGCCTCTCTGGAAGCTCATTGGTCACATCTAGGCCTTGCCCATCCTGATGCCACACACTCCTGGGACTCATCATTGGTCCAGGAAATCTA